ATACAGAAGCGTTGAATGTGTCATTTAGTGTTCGTCTTCTTTTAGTCACAGGGGTCACAGTCGAGGTACTTGCTGGAGAAGTTAAGTTATTATGTACACTATCCTTTTTAACATTTTCGGTACCATTTTCTTCATTATTTTCGGTGCCACCCTCTTCAATATTTTCGGAAACAATCTCATCTTGGTTGGAATCTTGTGTGGTTTGGTTGTCATCTTCATCTTCGTCAAGACGATCACCTCCAGTAGAGGCTTGGCTAGCGTCATACTCATAAGTTTGCTGGGTGGATTTCCTAGCACTAGATAAATTTCCGCTGGAAGCTCTTGGTTTCACTATGTCCTTCAGAAAGAGAAGCTGCGAAAAATATGGCCATTTAGATTGCAGGTCATCTTCTGCAGCATCTCCTGAACGTCTAACAGGCAACTTCCCCAATTCAACCGAAAATTGGTCACGTAGGTATTTCCACTTTTTTCTCACTTTGGCCTCTGAAAAAAAACAAAAGATTACTTACCTGATTGCTCGATGGTGATAATATGAGAATTATCATAATAATAAAGACAATACGAACTATTAACGGAGGGAAGGAGAACATTTTACATCATTTTCCCTCCGTTAAAAATTCCACTCCACTTTGAGCAAATATGGACTTCTATCAGAGATTCAATACGAACTATGTTCACAAAACACGAAACGATTCAAAATTGAAATTTGTTACAGATATTTGGCTACCGGATCATCGTTCAGGTCTATTTCTTTTTCATTTCGAATTGGAGCATCTACAGCAGGACAGATTGTTGCAGAGACAGTTACTGCAATATGGGATGAATTACAACCACTCCACATGCCTGTACCAAAGAGAGAAGATTTCCAAAACATAGCAAACAATTTCAATAGTATTTGGAATTTTCCCAATTGCATTGGGGCCATCGATGGGAAGCATATTCGCATTATCTGTCCACGAAAATCAGGTTCAATGTTTTATAATTACAAAAATTATTTTTCTGTCGTTTTACAAGGGGTGGCAGACGCTAATTATAAATTTATTGCTATAGATATAGGCGGATATGGCAAACAGAGTGATGGTGGTACATTCAAAGCTTCTCAACTGTATCATTTGTTAGAAAATAGTCAAATGGATATCCCAGAACCCTGTTTTCTGCCCCGAACAAGAACGAAAGCTCCATTTGTATTAATAGGAGACGAGGCATACCCACTTCTTCCTTACCTCTTGAAACCGTTTGGTGGAAAGAACCTTAGTATGCAAGAAGATTGCTTTAATAAGCGCTTATCTCGTGCTAGAAAAACCATAGAGTGTTCTTTTGGGATTATAACAGCTAAATGGCGCCTCCTTTCAAAATGTATTGAAACCGACATTAAGACAGTAGACAACATTGTCAAATGCATATGTATCTTGCACAATACTATCATTGACAAGGAAGGATTTGAACGGCACCTTACTGATGTGTCTGAAGAATTTTTTAATAACAATAATGAAAAAAAAATTACTGGACGACCTTTAACGACAGCTAAAAATGTTCGAGATATTTTTGTTACATATTTCTCTGGAAATCGTTTGTCATATACTTAAAAATAATATGAATATTATCTTTATATTATTTCAGGTATTATCAATCGAAGCTAAATAAACATTGTACTTACCATCTTCATTTATTTCATTACTTATTTCCTTCCAATACCTGTCCACTGAATTTCGGTTGCTATGTAACTTATGTCTTTTATCCCATATAGGGGTTCTTTTGAATACTGCAGCAATTAATACTTCAATATCCATTTTCTTCTCTTTTCAAAACACAACCAGCGTGTACAACCAGCTAGAAAGAACTGCATTTTGATTCCGACAAAAAAGTCGGCGCCGGTCACCGGCGCCGACAAGCTTCAACCTGCTTGCACTGTGTTACCACCTATTTGAAAATATATATTAGTTTCTAAAGCTTACCAGCACCGATATGCGCCGGCCACCGGAAAGCAGGTAACCTGCTTCCACTGTGTTTCTACACTAATATATAAATGTTGTTAATTGAAAACTAGTCATTACTCTTGACTCGAGAAATGAATCACTAGGGCATAAAATGTTGTATGCATCACGTGCGTGAAATGCGTTTATGGCCTTCAGCGTGTAATTTTTATACATTATTCGAGCTGCAGACTATGAACGCCTACTTTACGCCCTTGATACATAAATAACTATTATGCATATCTCCGGAACTACACGGAATTTCAAAACTTTCAGAACGGCATATTGTTATAGAGGCTTGAAAATACGCAACTCTTCATCAACTTAACCATCCTTGTATCTCTTCCCGAGATCCCCATGATACAGACATCCTTACCTATGGACACACTGTATAGGAACTGTTAACATTAACGCAATACTTACCAGGCGACAAAATGATAGAACTTCGAATATCATTAAGAGTTCTTTAAATGCAGTTTCATTCCACAAAATCAATATTTACACAGATATTTAATGACTCTTGACAGCTTTTCGAACGTACCTATTGCGAAATATCAAAACATGGTCATTTTTTATTCGTCTATATGTTGTGACCTTACAAAACAACTCGTAGCAATGTAAATGTTCTTCCAAAAACTCTTTTTAGCAAATACGAAACAAGGATAAATCATTGATATACGTCAGAACCTCGACGAGACGATTATAGATATTGGAGATACCAGTTTTAGGTTAATTGCCATACCAGAAGTGGTTAATTCTGCTTTTTATTATTGAATTGTTGACTCTCCTGATTCATCCATTCTATTATTCTCTATACATGACGCAGAATATTTTGAAGGTGTTCAAAATCCTTCCATATGTATTGAATATTTGAAACTACAAGCTAATAAGCTAATCCAGTGGGTCCATAGGTATATTGATACATATTTTCCTTTTATAATTTAAAGAGCTTCATAAAAGAAGCTGATTACATAAGTTGGTTGTTTAGGGTTACACAGGACCACCCTAACCATTGGGCTAAATGGGCTATAGCTCAGGACGCTAGACATAGACATAAACTTTTGGAAAATCGATGTTTTTCGAACGCTATTCTAACACTTAAACCTTAATAAAGCATTAGCATAAAGCGTCCTGGAATGAATACCAACAGTCTAAAAACAATACTCTCGTGAAATATTTAGCTTATTCTTCATATATCTATATACACTGAGAACTAAACCTCTTAATAAAATCCATAAACAAGACAATAAAATGAGCTGTAACAAAACATTAGGCAAATAATAACAAGAAAAGAATAGTTAGAAAAAAATAACAAAAAATAACCTTGTTCAACTTTAGGTTATGGATTGAACAACAACAAAAAAAAACATCATAGAAATAGGGAGATGTCAAGCATCTACGTATCAGTCTAGAGAGAGTAGTTGGATTTGAATATTCTTCTTAAAATTGAACGAACTTGGGATAACTATGCTATCTGGAATAGAATTGAACAATGACGGAGCCGTAAATGAAAATCCTTTTCTAAAAATGTCACTGACATGACGTGGTATACTTAATTTGTGGGGAAATCGAATAATATCATTGTTGGGCACGTGCAGCGTTTCTGAAGATGAGTTCATCTTTTAAGTAAACAGGTTTATTATGCTTCAAGATTTTATGACTAGCAGTAGTGCTAGTGAGAGCCACAGCGTTGGGATGAATGGGGGCTCAGGGGCTTTGAAACAGAACTCTGATGGGCTCGGAAAACAGGGCTCACATGGAAACACATACGTGGAACACCCTGGCGAGGGGCTCCTCGGGAATGAGCCGGGAAGGGGAATGGAACGAAACCGGCACCCCCCTATAGACAAGATTGTCAGAGGTGTGGGACGAAACAACAGTGTTAACACAATGGATCCACCCGAGCAGTCTAAGTGAACTTAGGGCTACAGAGAGCTAGTCCCCTGATTTAAAAATCCAAAATCCGAATTTCAGATGACAACGCATTATTATAGAAATACTACTGCAGAGATACGTGAAATATATGTTAACCATCTTAGGGATAAATTTGTTTCTTACGATGCCGTCACAAATTATGTTATTGAAAAGGTACCTATTTATACAACGAGTAACGACTTACAAAATGAGCGTGTTTTGCCAGGGCCTACTATATCTCAGATAGAGTAGGCCCTGGTTTTGCACTAGACGTGAATATTGGACTTCTAACGCAGCGATAATTGATTTATATGCGAATGAAAGGTGACCTGCATGGCTATAATTATGCTTTTTGTTTATAGTTTGTATTGTTCGTATAGGTTATTTTGTGTTTTTATTAATTCCATGCTGTCATTGGTTGATTGGTATTTTTTTGGAATTTTTTTCTATATATATAGTTCTGAGACTTCTGTAAAATATCCTGTTTTGATCAAGTAGTAACCCCTAAGCACCTAATGTCCTAGAAGGGTCCTAGAAATTCATTTTTATATTGCTCCAAAAGATTTGCCATATAGGTCACGTTTTCTATAAAAGAATGATTCATTCGGTTGAAATATGCCATTTAAAAAGGTTGATCATTTGAACCAAGGTGTTTTGGAGGAAAATATACTTTCAAATTGAAATCCCATCAAACTACCGTTTAGGAATCACTACCAACTAAGAATATTTTGTCAGTCCAATTATTCTGGATAATCTTTTGTTGTCGAATTTTACAAGAACATCTATATAGGATAGCAAGTTCATTTTTAATTTTTATCAAGATGCTATTTTACATACGAATTTTCCCTCTGGATTTATCAATAGAAAGGAGGTTAGTTACTTGTACATACTTATTTTTGTACAATTGAGAATGTGACGTATTTGCCAAAACAAAAATCTTGCTGCATCCCAGCACGTATTGTACATTCAATATTGTGCACTCATTTGTTTCCACGTCCCCCACCTGATTTTGTTGATCTATTTGCGTCCTCAGAAGTGTTGTTCGACCTAGGATGTTTGTTTGGGAAGCTGTGATGGAAATAAAATTGACAGAAAGACGAGGAACCAGCTTTCAGTCGAATTCTACTTCTTATCTCGTTCACATCTCATTTTAAGCGATTTTTTTCGGGTGACAATCAATTCGACTCGTGCCGTTTTAATGTCATATTTGGGATCTGCCCCTTATAAAGCCAACCTATCCAAAATACTTCGTGGCGATAACATCACTTTCGAAGGTGAGTTTATTTTCTCAAGTGAAAGCCGTTCGGAGAAATAAAAAAGGTCGGACCGTTATTTATTACTCCATCAAAATCCACAGAAATTTATCAATATCCATGATATAATGAATGAAACAAAAAAAATATATCTTCGAAAAATATATGAACATGTATCTAGGATGCCCGCATTAGTTGAGGACTCAACTACCTATTAGTAAAATAGTTCGATCTTGATTCAATTTTGTTGTAAGTTTGGGCAAAGTTTACAGAATTATAAATATTCAATTCTGTAAACTTTGGTTTAGGGTTGTGTTCGTGGCTGACCACCCATATTTTCATGGTCTCCAGGTTCTGTATCAATATTTTTAACGAAGATATACCCTGTTTATGTGAAATCGTCGTATAACTTTGATGGCTTATATTTCAGAAATGATTAATCGAAATTTTCTGAAATTTAGCAGCGGCGTTCCTCTACAAAAACTCTAAAATGGAATATCATGAAAAAAAAATCCAGATCCGGACGTGGGTAAATTTCATGTTTTGTTGTTACGTCAAGAATGTGATGATAATATCTATCTAGAATTTCGATCAAAAACTACCATTTCGGATTATCAAACAATCAATCAAAACTACTGTCTTCTCTCAATTTATGTCCAATAAAATGTACGAAGAATCAATTTACATGAATTCAATGGGCGTGTACACCTTAGTAGAACTTTTAACTCAAACCATGTTTATAATGATCCTTTTATACATAAATAATGATTGACGACATAATTCGATCGAAAAATTAACTGAAATGTTTTATTTTTGGACTTAAATAATAGTATCTTCTGAAAACGGACCCTCTTATGACGTAGAAACCTCATCTCGCCATAGTTAAAAAAAATACCAAACGTTCGACGGAGACTGAGTCAACTGATATATTAATTCTTTCAACTGTGATCTCGCGCTAATTCACTCTGTCAGAAATCATGTATCATTCATCTCTGTCTGGAATAGTCTTGTTTCAGTATTAGGGTTTTGACGTCACATCATCGCCTCGTTTTCAGAGGTCCAAAAAATCGGGGATTTCAATAATTTTTTATAAAACGTAGGGCGCTCACAGCAAGAAACGGTTTGCGGTGGTGATCTAGTTTGAGTGAGTTCTATCGAATTATGAAATAATTTTTTTTTGTGATACAAGCCCATTGAGAGTTAAGATTTATCAGCCAGGTCGTTATTGAAGATTCATTCGAACGTTTTTGTTCCATATTTTTTCATTAAATCAGTAACAGTGTGCCGTGCAAATTGAAGAGCAGTTCTTATAGCGTTTTGTCTGATCTTCCAGAATCTGCTAAGATTTTTTGAGAAAAGTGACCGCAAAGTGAACTTTTTTGATATAACAATGAATGACATGATTTTTTTCCAAGTCCGGATCTGTTTTCTTTTCATAACATGCCATCTTGAATAGCCTCAATAGAGAAACTTCGCTGCCAAATCTCAGAAAATTATGATGAATAATTTCTGAAATAACGGCCATCACAGTTATATGGCAATTACCCTGTATCTTCGTTATATATGGCAAAAAAATATTTCCATTTATATGTACATCAACTCGTCTTGATTTCTCTTATTCACCATTTGGCTATGTGAGTCTCCTCATGAATCACCCTGAATAACTTATCGATTTTTTTCTAATCTTGAAAAAATTAATCATCTGAAACGTATTCGTTCCCTTTGATCTGCAATTTGAGTTTCTGCCAATACCTATATCTTTTGAAATTATGAATAAATTATGATTGTACTATAACATTAAATTCAAAAAACATATCTAAAGCTGATGAAATATTCGTTTGATTTTTTTTTTTCAGGAAGTATGGATATGATGACATATTGAATACAACTTGCTTTCAAAATAAATATTAATCTATTTTTGATAATAACTCAATAAAAACGAATGTATTGCCCCTTCAGAAAAGGGAATTAAAGACCCCTTTCCTTCTTATAAATAAAACATTTCCTCCTCCACTGACGAGAGACTCCGTTATTATTGATGAATCACGAGAATTGTTGTACTCGTGGAACTTATTCGAATTGGCACATCTGCAGTATACTCCTTATACAGATCGTTCGCCCAATCATTACACCTAGGACATGTAAATGGCCACATAGCAAGAGATAATGATTTGGCTATCGTACGTCTGACTTCCACCATGCCACCACAGTGAAACACAACCGCTATTCTCCGTAACCGCCATGTTGCCAAATGCCGTCCTTTCCTAATACTTCTAATCATACCGTGGTTTGATTGAAAAACATTGCATAGGCAAAGTATTCGGTCAAGCTCGGGGCAAGCTGCCATAATTTAAAATTGTTTGTTATGTTTGGCACCCTCGACAAAAAGTAATTGAAATACAATAACAACTAGTACTGGTACTGATGGTGGGGGACGTTTGCACGTCAGCAACTAGTCCCTAATAGGACCTTCTTACAAGCCCCAAGGTGTTTTCAATGAGTGATGTGGTTCGCAAGAGAGCTGACTAACATCCTTTTCAGGTACCGTCCATCAGCTCTCTTTCAGAGTTTTTCGGCTGTGTTTTGTAGGCTAGTAATGTACTCACTTCCATATGCTGCAGTAGCAGGCCTGTTAGCTATTCTCGTTAACCCCCGTTAGAGCTCGAGGTCCAGTAAAGCAGCTGGCCCGCTCTCACGCTCAGCTGGTAGTTTTCCACACCCACCTACATACACCGTCCTACTTATTCTCTGATGATCACAAACACATCATCATCTCTTTCTACGTGTTCTGTGTAGGCTTTGTTACTTACTCCATGCGCCACTTTAGGAGCAGCACTGTTAATTGGAACGCAACAGCTAATTGTGCAGGACTATCCCCAGCCGATGCTGCAATAACTAACTTATCATGTGTTTCCATAAGATCATGAAAACATGTCTACAATGATACTCTTGATGTGTCTTGTGAATTGTATCTCTATTCAAGCTGATCCAGATCTTGAAAACTAATGATAATAATAAGGGTGCCATCATATCCACACCCCCCCTCCCTTCTTGTGTGGAATGATAGTTACAATAATGAACTTGATGTGATATAATTTCGAATACCTATAATACTTAAATGTTATTTTTCTTCAACAACCTCATTTCAACTCGTCAAATCGAAAATTGCCTTTAGAAAACATATCGTTGCCCACTCTGTATCTATGGAAATTCTCGAAAGTTCTGAACGCTAATTATGTTTTTCCTGTTTATGAAATTCTGCACAAACAAAATGAGTGATGCAAAAAATAATCCACATACAATCACCACTTTTTTCACTCTTTTTATACCCAGGATCATTAATTCAAACAAAAGCCAAAGCCTATGTTCAGATAATCCCGGTATACAGCTGTACGAGGTGTAATCAGTAAATATATAAGAACCTGCTCACACATAGGTAAGATATCTAAGCTTTTTTTTTTTCGAATAACGCTTTGATTCCGATACTGTTCTGTATATAAAAACAAGAATGTCTCTGTATAATAGCAGGCTAGTAAAATCATAGGTTAAATGTCGAATTTGACAACGAATTCACTCATACGAATTGGTTGATATAGGAATATTTAATCATCAGCTGTGAAGTGTGTAATATGTTATGTACAGTTGTGTGCATACAGAAGTCGTACAAGCTTTGTATGGTGTAAACCTGCCTATGATGTTCCAGATTTCATTAAAAAGTAGTACACGCACACATTTGCGTGTTACTGACAAAAATAGTTTGGATTTTGACACTACTTGTCAAAGTCGATAAGAAGATTGATCAAGATTGACAAGCCTGACTCACAATAGCCAGTAACTGCTGTACGACTTGTTTATACACACAACTGTACATATACATATTAAAATTAGATAAATGGATTTCAACAGCCACCATCAATCGCAATTCGAGGAAATCATCTCCCATATTGAAATATTATTTTGCAGTATTATTTAACAGTGTTTAAAAAATCATTAAAACTGTGGATCAAAGTTTTTTCTCGATAATCTTATTTCTCAGAACGCTTGTAATTCGGTGGTTCTGTGAAGTTTACATAATAGATATGTCACTTCGTCACTGCAACATCTTTTTAATTTATAAGAACTTGTTTCAAGCACGAGTATAAAGGTAATTATTCAAACTGTAACCGCAATGAATATGTATGTGGCAATAACCTGAAATAAATGTACCTTAATTATTTATTATTAGTGAAGAATGAATTATGTTTTCATTGAATTCATATGTAATATTCATTACACATGAAAAATAGATTGATTCATTCGACAATAGCTTTTTGTATAACAAGGTAGGAAAGTGCTACTTTTCCTCTAGAGGATGAGGTTTACTGCCCGACGCGAAGCCACGATGATTGGATAACAGGAACGTAACTTTTTGAAAAAACAATTTAATTGATTTCGAAAATATCCATATATCTATTGTAATGATTGAAAAATATGTTTTCAAGTGTCCTCCCAAATTCCACATATCCCTGTATCACCCTGTGGTATATACTGCGATCTAAAAAATCTATTTTGTTCCCTTCATTTCTGTGCTCCTAGGTTTCTTGACCTTGAGCCCTTAGGTTCTGTAGGATGGATACATTCAGTCAGTACTTGGATAGAGGTTTGCTCCTCTTCTACACAGAACCTGCATTCCTCTTCCTCTGCTAAGCCGAGCTTCCTCAGATGTTTTTCCATAGGACTCCGTTAGTATACGAAGTTTATGTTTGCTCAGGCTGCATATTATGCGTTCGATCTTTTTTGGTTATATTTACCCAATAGTATCTTAGCCTTCATGAGACCATGTGGTATCTCAGTCCAAATTATATTTTATGAACCGAGTATATTTACTTGATACCTTATGAAATAACCATGAATTCAGGAATACCTAGGAAGGAAAATTAAAATCGTTTATCATTTGAAAAGTACGACGTTTCGAATTGGAGGAAAATTATGCACCAGAGTATTTTAGTTAGTAAGTTATCAGTTTGGCCCACTTTCTTTAG